TATAACTTAGTGAAAAAAAATTCATTTGATCTACCAATTTAGGGATAAGTCTGTCATATATGGGACATTCCATGTCAACTCAGCCACACCGGATTTTTTTTTGTCTGGGAAAAATCATTGAGTAGGTGCATTTTGAACTACTACATATAGACAGTGATCATGCAAAATTTCATTGCCCTGCCACTTTTTGTTTCTGAGATAATCATTATGAAACTTGAAATTTTCAAAAAATCATTACTTCTAAATGGAGCATCCGATTTTGATAAATAAAAAAAGAAAATTTTCGTTTTTTTTCGTACTTCAAGATGAAAAATATTTCAGAGCCATCAAGAAGCTCCTAGACCAGTTTTTTGAGAATTTTTCGTGTTTTGATTTTTTTTTCACTCTAGGGCCGCTCGATATTCGATCGAAATATTTTTTTTATGATAGAGGATGTCCTTATATGATATGAAAAAAATACGCCATAATGGAAGAGCGAAGCAATGCACCGGAAATTTTGTTTTTTAATTTTTGGGTTTTTCAGTTTTTAGGGGAGATCCATCGTTTTTTTTTTAAAGAAATGAGTCTGTCAACCATTATTCTTCGTTCATATATGATGACATAAGACTACACCATCATGTAACGGAGAAAGAGTGCGCCGAAAAAAAAAATTTTCGTTGAAATTTTTACTGGAAGGGTAGATAGTTGAATTGAACATTATCATCATCGGAAGTTTGCAAAATCATGATCAACCAAATGAGAAGAAGAAACAAACGGAATCAATTAATTGATTTATCATCATCAGTCGGTTCCAAGGCTTTAATTCTAGAAAAAAACCTCAATTTCTCGATTGATTTTTTATCACCATACGATTCTGTGTGGATGGATTACCGACCTCCTATCTTATTCTATTCTTGCAACGAGATAAGAAATTTTCACGTTGATTATATAGAAATGATCGTTATTCTCCGAATTGATATCTTCGGATTTCATAGAATGCCGCGGAGTGATAGATGTACGAATCCAATGCGGGCTCCTGGTGAGAAGGGACACCTCGGTTATAATTTACGTCCGATTTCCTTGACACTACACGAGAAATTTCCTTTTTTACCATTGTCTGCGAAAATCTGTGGTCAATGCCGAACGAGAGCTCCAACTTATGTCATTCCTCCATCTGTCCCCACGGTTAAACTTAATGCTACACATCTTCAGCGTTCGGAAACTCCACCCGATATATCAATGCTCCAAGCCGAAACATGTGACCCAAGTCTGGATGTGATGAACAGTTCTCTGAGATCAGGTCGATCTTTCCATCTTGATGATTCCGGCATATCAATCGACGACGAACCAGACGATGAAGCTGAATTCGACAGTTCTTCCATGGATTATGATTCGGAAGATGACCAAAGTGACATTGATCCATCTTCATCTAAGCAGTATCGATCTGCGAGAGAAATAGAATTAGAAGAAATGTTGGATGGTTTGAAGCAGAAATTCAAAGATCTGAAAAACTACCGTGAGTGCCTGCAAATCTTGACGGTTCATCCACAGTCGTGGAGTGCGTGGAATATTGCTTCTGAATTGGGAACTACCAGATACATGGCGTCAAGAGCGAAAAGATTGAATAAAATTAAAGGAGTGTTTGCTTCACCAATTGCGAAAGCAGGTCACTCAGCACAACCGTCGAGAAGGTACACAATTTTTACCTAGAGGACAGTCGCGTCATGCCAGGCATGAAAGATAAAATATCCACCAAGATCAATGGGGAGAAGAAAGTAGAGCAAAAGCGAATGATACTCGAAAATCTAAAAGTCCTTCATCGGAAGTACAAACATGCGAATGAAGATGCTAAGGTCGGTTTCAGTAAGTTTGCCGAGCTGAGACCTAAACAATGTGTAGTGGCGGGAGCAAATGGCACTCACGTGGTATGTGTTTGTACGTATCATCGAAATTGCAAATTGATGCTAGAGGCAATTAATATTGCGACTCTAACTCAAGATTTCCCCTGTCCACTCAGAGTTTACAAAGATTGTCTAGCAAAATTGATGTGTACAAATCCAACCTTGGCCTGTCATCTGGATAAATGTAACGATTGTACCGGAGTGAAATCATTATCATGTGAACTGAAGAAACTTCTCTTTGATTCTGTCGTGGAAATGGTTGAATTTCGCATGTGGCAAAGTACTGACAGGTGTACCTTGCAGACACAGACCCTCCCGATGGATGAATTCATTGATCTTCTAATGGACCGATTGATAGTATTGAAGCCCCATCACTTCATCGCTAAAGAACAATCGGCTTTTGTCAAACAGCGAAAAGAGAATTTGGATAATGGAGAAGTACTAGTGCATTGTGATTTTTCGGAAAATTACGCTTTTGTGGCTCAAGATGTTGCTCAATCCTTCCACTACAATAATGACCAGTGTACAGTTCACCTCGTTGTCTACTACTATCGCGAAAAAAATTAAATCCAAAATCGGAGTTTAGTCGTTTTGTCGGACAGTACGACTCACAATACTGTCGCTGTTTATTTGATACAGAAGATTTTAATACAGCATGTGAAAGACAACTGTGAAAGCGCGGAGAAAATTATCTATGTCACCGATGGAGCTGCACAACATTACAAGAATCGTTTTCAGATCACGAATCTCTTGCATCACAAGACTGATTTTGGCATAGATGCGGAAGCCTCCTTTCATGCAACCGCGCACGGTAAAGGAGCTTATGACGGAGTAGGAGCTGTCTTTAAGAGAGAAGCGAGATGTAAGAGCTTGCAAATCGTTCATGGTGAACCAATCCTCACGCCAGATGCTTTGTTTTGATGGTCAAAAGAGAATTTTGAAGGAATTGATGTTTTTTTTTTCACCAAGGCAGAACACGAGAATATCAAAACTGAGTTGAGAGAGAGATTTGCTAGTGCCAAACCTATTCCAGCTATTCAAAAACACAATTGTTTTATTCCCATACCGGGAGAGCAATTGTTAATTAAACGATATTCGGCTTCGGGTAACGAGGAGGTTTTCCCAAAGCAAAAACAAACAACAACAAAACGAAAAACCCGCAGAAGACAGTAATCGTGATGTAAATAATTCATCAGTGCATGTTGGAACTTGTCGTCGAAGAGAGTGGAGAATTTCTCCGTATTGTAAAAATGTAAAAATGTGAAAATATAAAATGTTGTCGTTATAGAATCATAAAAATTGTTTTTTTCCCATACGTTTTCGTTAGTGGAAAGCACAGTGTGTTGTTGAGAAAAGATTTATAGTCGCATCAATAGTTTATTCTATCCAGCAGAACAGAAAATGTCTATTGACAAACCCCTTTTTCAGTAACAATAATGCAACTCTAACGAAACGTAAAAATTTCGAAGAAAATTTTTTTTCGGAACATTCTTTCTCTTTTACATGATGGCGTACTCTTTTGCCATCATATATGAACAAAGAATAATAGTTGACAGACTGATTTCTTTGAAAAAAACCGATGGATCTTCCCTAAAAACTGAAAAACCCAAAAATTTCGAAAAAAAAATTTTTTTCCCATGCATTGCTTCGCTCTTCCATTATGGCGTATTTTTTTCATATCATATAAGGAAATCCTCTATTATAAAAAAAACATTTCGATCGAATATCGAGCAGCCCTAGAGTGAAAAAAAAAATAAAAACGCGAAAAATTCTCGAAAAATCGGTGTAGGATCGTCTTGACGGCTCTGAAGTATTTTTTATCTTGAAATACAAGAAAAAACGAAACTTTTCGTCTTTTATTTATCAAAATTGGATGCTCTATTCAGAAGTAATGATTTTTTGAACATTTCAAGTTTCGTAATGATTATCTCAGAAACAAAAAGAGGCAGGGCAATGAAATTTTGCATGATCACTGGCTATATGTAGTAGTTCAAAATGCACCTACTCAATGATTTTTCCCAGACAAAAAAAAATCCGGTGTGGTTGAGTTGACATGGAATCTCCCATACTCCTCTTCTGGAGAAAATCGCAGATTCCATCGGAAATCGTTGTATCCGCTTTTCCCGCTTCTGGATTTGATGTCGAATTGCTTCTCTATCAGACTGAGAAAAAAAATTAGTTTTGCCAAATATCCATTTATTTGCAAAAAGTATTTGTTTTTTCAATACCATATTTCCCTAGTCAAGTTATTTCTAGGCAATTCTTATGAGGTTTCAATTATAACAATTATATTGCTCTAGAAGATGATTATGTTCGTTGTGACCTTAAGTAATCTCCTTCAACAATTATCAATGTTAAAAAATTGAGCTAAATTATTCCCTCTAGAAAATAAGAAAATCAGGAAAAATGAATAATCGTTGCAGGACTTCATACAAGGTTATGTGGAACATAGTCATTCTCTAGAGCAATATAACTGTCATAATTGAAAATTAATCAGGCTCGTCTGGGAATGACTCGATTGGAGAAATACGATTTTGAAAAATAAATGCTTCTCTCAAGTAAATGAATATTTGGCAAAAATAATTTCTTTTCTCAGTGTAGGGTAAGGGGCCATCGGAATATTACATCACACGATTAGGTGAGAGGGTTATGCGGTGGGTAGTTTGTGACGCTTTGTGATGGAAAAGTTGTTTGCTTAGATAGTAGTATCACACCATATTTTTTCTCACTGCTAATCGAAGAAATTGCAAATGCAGTTTTATTTTCGTCCTTTTTTCTCACGAAATAAACAGCAGTTTCATCAATCTTTGAAACTCGAAATTGTTGACCTAATCATTTGCCTCCTTGCCTTATTCTTACTTTTCTAATTCAATTTTATGAAGATCTATATTCGAAACTAAAAAGTTCGCCATAACGAGAGGGAGGGGGGGGGGGGGGGGGGTGGAGGGGAGATTGCGGATTTTGTGAGTCATTGCGCAGGGGTAGTTCTTCGTTTGTTATGGCTTGTAACTGAGGAGGGAAGCGGTCTCGTATCCAAAACACGTATGATGTACTATTTAAATGGCCTCATAAGCATTTCAAATGAAAATAAAACGTTTTAAATTATGTTTTTTGTTTAAGAATCAACAGGATACAATCAAACAGCGAACATGAAGGACGGCGCTTTCGAGAATATGCTGAGAACCAGATATCAAATTCGATCAAGTATTGAGGAAGCTTCTTCTTAGGAGAAAATTATCAAGAATCAGCAGCAGTATATCTACTCATTTTTTTGCTGGTCCCAAATCTCCAGTATAAAATTTTGGAATCATGGATTGTTTCATAGTTAGGGTTCAAAATTCCATTGCATACTTTCAGAATACGGTAGATCCAAAACTTAAAGTCTGAAATTTTATAAAATGACCCAAGTCACGGTAGAACAGTAACAGAAACCCTCATGTCAAAATTGCCTAGTGATCTTGAATAGCATTCTTCTCGCGTACGTCTTGTGCGTAATAGTATCGAAGTCAAATAAATTGTAATGAAAAAAAAAAGAAATGTGTTAACACTTTTTCTGGTTTCAGGCGTAATCAATAGGTATTGCTCAATGCGGAAGATTGGTTTCCATTGAAAAATAGACAAGTGTTTCATAAGATCACTCTCTATTTCTTTCTGTAATGGTTATTGAACATATAATTGTAACATTCCATAATCGTAAAAGATTTTATTGGACGTTTTCTATGTAAAGAATAAGATCTTTTGTATATCATCAGAAAAGGAACAAACACAACTGATAGAATCTGAGATCAGAATTGTATATACATTTTTTCTGTGGCACATACGCCCAAAAGTTTACTATTCATATATTTATGTATATTTTCTCGGACACTTGTCTATTTCGCATTTGAAATAAATTTATGTAGGGATGTAATCATGGAAAGTGCAATTTTGAGATACAGGTTTATGTTGAAGATAGAAAGGAATATTGAGTTATTTGTTATGTATGTATAGAATGTTTCAAAAATCGTGACTTTGCTTGAAAATGTCATTGGTTACTAATGAATCCTGGCAAGTATTACATGTACATTCACTGGGAATGACGAATTGGGAATAAGGTGTCATTGAATAGGTAAAATTATCCATTATAATAAAATATATTACATTATGAAATAAAAATATCTCCAGTTATTCTTGTTAAAAAAACAGATACAAGTATTACAACTCTTTATTTTTCGAGATTCATGGGAATGTAAAGATTCCGTAATCACCTTCTACAATGGTGCATTTTCTAAAGAATGATGCGAATAAACTCGAAAATCTTCAAATCAGAACATTGAAAATCTTAACAATGTCTAGATAGATAAGTATAGTGAATACCCCCAGATGTTTTTGAAACTTCAATTTTTCCACATATTTATTAGCAAAAAGACAGTTCTATGCAACATTGTAGGTCTTTACATTGATTTCTTGATTTTTTATACTTCAGAAAACGGTTTGTTGCACAGAAAGCTACTTTTTTTTAAAGATTGAAAAAACGTACGTGAAATGAACGAAATCGAAGTGCTTGGGATTTGAAGCGAGTGGGTATCGAAGCCTATGATCTTTCACTATGCGGGCAAAGAATACAGACGCTCATAGAAGTTCGAATCTGGAGGTCTTCTTCTTCTTCTTCGTATTCTTCTTCTTCTTTTTCTTCTTCTTCTAATCTTGGTGGCGTTATCCCACTGATCGCCATACAGGGTGTTTCATAATTACTTTTTTTCTTACCTCCTAGTTGTGAAAAAAACCCAAAGATTATGGAAAGAATCTTTAAAAAAAATTTATTTGACAGATTTTTTCTTGTTATATAAAAAGGAGATGTCACACGTTTATTCCTGAATGTCTGGAACAGAAATCGCATGCATGATGATGATGATACTGATTTGGTTGATGATGTCGATGATGGTGATGATATTGGTGATGTTGATGATGTTGGTAATGTTGGTATATAGATCTTCGGAGAGATGTTTTCAATCACGTATAATTATATGTAGCTTTTTCGAGAGTTCGATCATGAGATCCATTGAAAGTCTTCACAAGATAACAACGAAAAAACGACATGGTTAAAAATTATGTCTATAACGAGTTATATGTTCGAGTAAATGGTATATACAGGGGATCCCAGAAGTGGAAATATTCCCTAAAATGGAGAGTAGCGGGTTCAATTCTGGCTCGAAAAGTCCAATGAAGTTTTTCGATCCGCAGCTTCATTCAAAAGATATTGATAAATGACGTTTGACCAATCAGAGAGCAGAATTAGAGAGGCTCGTGTCAGTATGTCGGCTGTGGGGTGCAATGGTGAGCGCAGGAGTTGAGCTCGCTGGCTTTCCACTCTTTTGCCGTTGACGTGGAGAAGGGGGAGCCCTAGCGGTTCTCAATTCCGCTCAGCTTCCGCTCGTTTTTGCTCCTTTCTCGCGCCGAATTGTCTCATCTTCGAATTACCATAAAGAGATAATATTGCGCTCTATCGATTCGGCAATGAATTTTCAATGAGCAACAGAGAATTAATGAATAAAATGAGAAAATACCCTAATGAACCCATGAGAGAGCTGGTAGACAGAAACGTTACTGTCTATTGTTTACATTTGAGAAAAATGTGAGAGTTGGGAGATAGTTGGAGTGACAGGGCCAATTCTCTACTCTTCAGTGCTTTTAGAGAGGGGATAGATGGAGCAAGGAATTTTCTGGCCATTGTAGGTATTGGCCCTCGAGAATTTTGACCCTTTAATTTACTGACAGCTCCTTATAACTCTCGAACCTTGGATCTTTTGACCCGCGAATGGTTTGGCCCGCGAATCTCCTGATTCCTGCATACTGACCCTTTTTTCTCACCCTTCATGTTCTTGACCATTAGATTTTGACCCTGAAAATTGCTGACCCTAAAAATGTTGGAATATCGAACATTTGACTCTTATTTTTTCTGACCCTCAAGGTTCGGCTCCTTTGCAGACCCTTCATGTTCTTGACTCTCAAACTGTTAAGGATGAATCCCCGGGTTTTGCTATTTGGAGATAAATCTCACTACAGTGGATAGATACTGGAATCCGGTATTTTACTTAAAAAGGGGTTAAAAAGGTCTATTACCTTCGCCCTTCTTCCCCTGAATCTAATTAACTTAAAATAAAAACGAATAATGGGCGCCAGATAATTTTTAGCTGGAATTATCAAACCGAAAGTACACGAATTTCGAGTCCAAACACTCAGGAAATTCCCAAACGACAAACCAAAAACGAAGAGAACTAGATTTTGAGGGAAAGGTGACGGTCCTCGGATCGCTCAGTGTGCTAGGTTGTGGAGAGAGGGGTGGATTTCAGGTGGAAACGGATTATTGGGCGGTCAAAACAACAAAAAAAAAGAGATCGACATTGTCCTTACTTGTTGCACTATTGAAATTTTCAAAGATGAATACTTTACATACTTTTACATAATTTCCAAAAGAAACGGAAATTCTCAATAACAATCATCGCTCTCCTAACAAAAACCAAAGAAACTAATAAAGAGACTAATAAATCTGATCTGAAATTATACTAACAAAATAATGTAATTGCGATCGTTTCGACTATAAGGGTAATGTGATCTAATTCCTCAGGTGTTATCGAAAACACAAGGACAACAGCAACCATACGAAAATGTTCGTTAATCCCGAAATGCTCGAGAATTCCGGGAACTGGGGGAAAGGTATGCGAATACCCGTGAGAGTGAGAGAGAGAAGAAATAAACCCAGTGATATACGTATAACGTACTGCGGAAAATGAAAGTTCAACAAAACTGAACTCGCCGTAGCGGAAAACCGGTAGAGTAAAATCCGGAGGGCCCAGAGAAAAAATTCTCGGGAGAGTCTGGAGAAGCCCATGATACCAAAATTATCAAATTTGGATCGTTGGGAGCCACTCCAGGTTGATTAACACCCGGAGGGAATTTTTAAACGAGGGACCGCTCGCGTGAAGCGAGAGCCGCAACTTGTCGGCGCGGATCGACGTTAGTGGAATGCCGGGAGGGGAAAGCATTCCTGGAGAATGCTAGAGCCGCTCTACGGGAATTTCTCATAGAGGGAGAGGGAAGACTCTCTGCTACGGGAGCGAGAGAGAAACGAAGGCTTAAATCGAAAAATCTCACAATTTCGACCGAGAAAAATGAAATAAACATCACTTTTTCCTTAGAGCTTCAAATAACTAATGAAAAGAGACCCGACAATGCCGCCGGGGCAGAACCGGACGGAAATTACGATGCCAACCCTTCTAGGGGGGAATAAGTCGATGAAAATCGACCAGAAACCCATAGGTAAAAATCCGGGGACAATCGACATCTAAAAAAAAAATATAAAAACCACCAATAAATTACTTAACAACCGTTTAATCGGATCGAAGGTCACTGCACGTGGCTGAAGGCCAACGTGAGGGAAACCACCAGGCGTGGAAAACCGACGCCATGCTCAATGGCTCGGATAAAACATGGAAAATCACAAAAAACTCACGTTTCGGCGTTTGCCGAACTTCTTTTTCTTAGCAGGCATCCTGAGGTAATCCAAGAATCCAATCGGATAATTCACAGGATGGGCACTAAATTCACTTAGTTGTCACACGACTAATTAGGTCAATGGTCAACGCGGAATTAAATTCGGGGGTCAGTGCCGTGACACAGTAACCGAGTGATTAGCCCAGCCTAATCGAGCAGGACTCTGATTGGCGGAGATGTTTCGCCAGCCGAGGTGTGATCCTCGGGGAAACCACCCAAGTAGTAGAGCAATACCGGTTCTGGATCACTTTGACCTTGAGAAATGAGTCATCAGGTCCAGAGCCGCGTTTGAGAAGGTTCTGCGGGGGGAGGGAGGAGTGCGGTAGGGGGTGAGGTAGAAGGTTCTAGAAGGTAGTGGAGGAGTGGGGTGAGGGTTCACCTTGAGAAATGAGTCATCAGGTCCAGAGCCGGGCGGGGAGTGGGTGGAATGTTCTAGAAGGTTCGATGGTGGGGGCAGAACGGGTGCAATATTCTGGAAGGTTTGATGGTGGGGCAGAACGGGTTGGCGGTGGGGCAGACCAGGTTGGTGGTGGAAGGTTCGGCGAGGGGGAGGAGGGAGGGGCGTGGAATGTTCTAGAAGGTTTGATAGTGGGGCAAAACGGGGTGGTGGGAGTTTTTTAGAAGGTGGGGCAGAACGGGTGGGAGGGAGTAGAATGTTCTAGAAGGTTTGGTGGTGGGGTAGAACGGTTTGGTGGTGGGGCAGAATGGTTTGGTGGTGGGGCAGAACGGGGGTAGAATGCTCTAGAAGGTTTGGGGTAGAATGGGTCGGTGGAAGATTCGAGGATGGGTGGTTAGGGGTTTGGGGGTAAGGGGCTTGGGGCTTGGGGCTAAGGGGCTTGGAGCTAAGGGGCTTGGGGTTAAGGGGCTGAGGGTTGAGGGCTTGGGGTTGAGGGGTATGGGGTTAAGAAATTAGTTGCTGAGAGCAGGGTTGCATCTTCGAAAGCAGGAGATTCTCGTTAGATGAATATAAAACGGAATTAAGTTATAGATTATGCAATTTAAATGCGTAAAAATTTTGTAATTAATTTTCTTGAATGTTCTTTAACTAATTATAAAAGCGTTCCCTCGTGAATTACTGTCAGTCTTCATCATAGATCAGTTGAGTCCAGACGAAGTGAGGTTTCTCTGTTCCCTCCCACCATTTTTGGTCAACTACGAGGAAGTTGTTATCAGACATTTTGGTGAGAATCCACCACAAAAAGCTTGGAATTGTTTATAAAGTTTTATCGATTTCGAAGAAAATTTGGAGCTTATAAAACAACGTCGATGTGCTTCGAAAAATGAACACCATTTGAATGCAGACGAAGTTGAATTGCTATCTACTATCCCACCGTATGTTTGTCAATACGATGACATTGTTATTAATTATTATGGTGATAATCCACCACAAACGGTATGGGACTTCCTTCACGATTTCCTCGATTTACAAGGGAACTTCAAGATAATTCGACGTCGTAGGCAGTTGGGAATAGGCGAACGGACCGAAATCAATTACTCAAGCCATGAGGAAAGAAGTGAACCAGTGCCCAGTACCTCATCGAGTATCAACGATTGTGATGAGGTGTCTTCTGTTGAGGAAAGATCATGTGACAAGCGAAGAAAAAATAAACCAAATCGACATCATGATCAAATATATCAATTACACTCACGT